AATGATGTGGTTAAGTTCCTAAGCACTCATGCCAGGCCCACTCCTACCCTGGAAAATTCCTGAGAGTAGGGACTCTGGTATTCGACAGTGACTGACATGCAATCAGGGCTTGACACTCAGTAGACACTGAACTCCCACCCCTTCCTCCCAAAGTGGGTCTTAAAAGGTCAGTCATCCTTAGTGGCACCCATCTATGATCCCAGCACTTGGGAGGGAGGACACCATGAGTTTGAGGCCAGCCGGGGCTACAGAGTGAGTTCAAGAGCAGCCTGAACTGCACAGGGAGACCCTGTCTCAAAAGAAAATGAAACAAAACAAAAAAGAAAAAAAGAAAGGAAGGAAGGAAGGAGTGGGCTGGGGATATAGCTCAGTGTGAAGGCCTTGGTTTAAATCCCCAGTACACACACACACACACACAGAGGAAAAAGTAGGTCAATCACTAGAATGGTATGACATGCTGATCACATGTCTACTAGCCATTTTAATTCCCACGTATATGCCCAAGAGAAATTAATGTATATGCCCATCAAAATATGTGCACAAGGGCTGGGATATATACTGTGATAGAGAGCTTGCCTAGCATACCTGAGGCCCTGGGTTCAATCCCCAGTACTTACAGGATTGTTCAGAGAGGGCTGAGGAGTGTGGTGCAGGGGGAGAGCTCACCTAGCGGGTAAGAGGCCTTGGGTTCCACTTTCAGCACCACAACATTTTTTAAATGCTCACAGAATGATTCAACAGCCCCCAAAATAAACCTATTCAAATGCCCAACAATATTTGAATGATGTCTGTATAATGAAATAAGTACAGCAAGAAGCATGAACAAACTAATATATACAACAATGCAGATCAGTCTCATAGGGCCAGGGATTTAGCTCAGTGGTTCTGGCTCCTGCCTCACAAGTGCAAGTTCCCGAGTTCAATCCCCCGTACAAAAAAAAAAGTTTCTTCCTGCAGATCAGTCTCACAAACATTGCCCTAAATGAAAGAAGCTGGACACAAAAAACTGTACTTAAAAGGAATTCAAAACCAGACAAAAGTAGGCTACATTGTTATTTTTAAATGTCACATAAGAATAATATCATGAAAAGATTTACACTACATATTAATGTGTAAAACAAGTTATTAAGTTTTTAATGAAATTTGCATAAAGGCATTTTTAAATATGTCTGAATGGAATTTGTGAGTACATAGACCAAAAAACAGCTAACACAAACCAGGCATGGTGGTGCACACTTGTAACACCAGCAATAAGGGAGAGTGAGGCAGGAGGATCTCAAGTTCAAGTCCCACCTAGGCAAATAAGTGAGACATTGCCTCAAAATTAAAAATAAAAAAGGAAGGGCCTAGGATTTAGCTCAGTGGTGCCGCCTGTTTCTCAAGCGCAAGGTCCTGAGTTCGATCCCAAGTACCAAAAAAATAAAAATAAAAAAGAGCTGGGGATGTAGCTCAATGCCAAGACCATGGGTTCAATACCTAATGCCACCCCCCCAAAAAAATAGCCAAAACAATCTTGAAGACTAAAATTGGAACGCTTACTCTACCAAGAATCAAACTCAGCTGGGTGTGGTGGGGCACGCCTGTAATTCCAGTACTCAGGAGGCTGAGGCAGGAGTATCACTGCAAGTTTGAGGCCAGCCTGGGCTACATAGTGAGTTCCAGAGCAGCCTGAACTGCAATAGTGAGACCCTGTCTCAAAAACCAAAAAACAACCCCCAAAAAGCAAAAAACAACCCCCATCATGGGCCGGGGATTTAGCTCAGTGGTTCTGCTGCCTGCCTCGCGAGTGCAAGGTCCCGAGTTTGATCCTAGGTACCAAAAAAAAAAAAAAAAACCCCAAAAAACAACCCCCCTCAAAAAAGAATCAGGCTTGGCCAGGGATTTAGCTCAGTGGTTTCGCCGCCTGCTGCACAAGCGCAAGGACCCAAATTGGATCCCCGGTACCAAAAAAAAAAAAAAAAAGGAACAACGCAAGAGTCATAAACTTTTTCTGAAAAGGGCCAGATAGTAAATAAAACAGGCTTTGCAGGTAACATGGTCTCTGTTAAAATCATTCAGCTCTGCTGTTGTAGTACAAAAACAGGCATAGGTAATATGTAGATGAATGGGCATGTCTGGGCTCTAAGACAAGTGACTTACAAAAACAGGCAAGTGGCCTTAGTTTGCTGATCCTTTCAATAGAAAATCCAGGAACAGACATATATAGAAATATACAAATTTTGATACAATGGCCGGGGATTTAGTTCAGTGGTGCTGCAGGCACCTGCTTTGCAAATATGTAAGGTCCTGAGTTTGATCCCCCGTACTGGAAAGAAACAAAAACAAATTTTGATACAAACTATAGACATAGATATGACTTGCAATACAAGTAGCACTGAAGAGCAATGAGGAATGAATGGTTTTTGCAATAATATATAGGCCACATTGGCTAACTATATAAAAAAAAATTTGGTCCCTACTTCATAGCATACATAAAAATAAAGTCCCCCTCTATTATAAATACATACATGAAAAATGTAAATGATAAGGTTTCTAGTAAACCATACAGAATATATTCATGACTTTGCTGGAGAAAAAGATTTTTTTTTCTTCTTTTTTGGTACTGGGGATCAAACTCGGGTCCTTGCACTTGCACAGCAGGCGGTGAAACCACTGAGCTAAATCCCCAGCCCAAGATTTCTTAAACAAAACCCAAAAAGCACTAACCACAAGAGAAAAGAATAATTCTTTGGGTTGTATATCAGTCAGCACTCAGTAGAGAAACATTTAATATGATAGATAGATAGATAGATAGATAGATAGATAGATAGATAGATAGATAGATACTGTATATGGATTTACAAGGTAGGTTCACAATTGCTGCCTGCAGAGTCAGGTGGCAGAGGGCAAAAGAGCTGTCTGTGTGCTGGAGTTCGGAAGGATCCAGTCAAATGAAGGCCTGGAACTCACTGTAGAGTTCCATGTGAGTCTCTATCAGGAAGCCAAAGGGTGTGCGCTGGAAGCCAGGAGATGATGCCCAAAGTGAAGGTGAAGACTGGAGCTCCTCCTAAGAAATAGAGGTGAACCCTCCTTTATTCCATTCAGTGACAAGACCCAGGGTGAGTCTTCTTCCATCTTCAGTAAATCCATTTGGTCATACCCAGAACTGTGCTAAGCCGATCAGTTGGGTGTTTCTTTTCTTTCTTTTTTTTTTTTTTTGGTACGGGGGATTGAATTTGGGACCTTGCACTTGCAGGGCAGGAGGTGGAACCACTGAGCTAAATCCCTGGCCCAGTTGAGTGTTTCTTATTTAAATTGACACAATAGTTAACTATCACAAATTGTATTAAAATTATGAATTTTTATTCATCAAGATAGCTTGAGATAAAATGTTGGCAATCTATCTAAAATGTGAGACATATTTTCATACTCAGAAAATATCTTAAATTCCTATGAATTTTTCATCTTTTTTTTTCTTGAGACAAGGTCTTGCCATGTAGCCCAGGCTGGCCTGGAACTCATGGCAATCTTATTGCCTCAGCCTCCCCAAGTGTTAGGATTATAGGTGTGTACCACCATGCCTGGCCCTCCTACAAGTGAAAATTTTAAGACAAAAAATCTAATAGTAAATTAGACAAGAGGCTCAGATACTTAATTATACAAATAATCAATAGATAGCTAAGATGTTAAACTCCATTAATTATCAAGAAAATGCAAATTTACTTTTTTCTTGGTACCGGACTCAGGACCTTGTGCTTGCCAGGCAGGAGGTGGAGCCACTGAGCTAAATTCTCTGCCCTTGAGAAAAATGCAAATTTAAAACAAGTTAGAACAACTGTATCAAGGGCCAGGGATTTGGCTCAGTGGTGCCGGAGCCTGCCTCGCAAGGGCAAGGTCCTGAGTTCGATCCCTGGTAACAAAAGAAAAAAAACTGTATCAAACACTGCTGGGTATAAAATGTTACCATGGACAATCCACTACAGTTGCTCATACTCATACCATGACCTAGCAATTTCACTCCTAGGTTTATACTGAACAGAAATATATATGTATGCACTTATGTATGTCATAAATCACTTTGTGTTAGTGTTTTCTGTGGTGGTTACTGAACACTGGGTAAAGAAAAAGATTTTGGTTCGCAGTTTGGATGGTCCATATGGTGTGAGCATCTTCTTGGATTAGACTACATTGCTGCAAGTCAGGAGTGTGAGGGTGAGCGTGCAGGGAAGACGGGAAAGGAACTTTCTGGGTTTGTGCATGTTGCTTCTCACACACACCTTTTTTTTTTCTCCCCCACTGTGCTAGGGGTGGAAACCAGGGCCTCACATGCTAGGCAAGCACTCAGTACTGAGGTACATCCTGTGCTGTGTCTCTTCAGTTAGAGGCCAACCAGATTTGGGGGCAGAAGGGATGAGAGAAGCATACAGACTCACAGACACCAGAGCCAGAAGCCCCAAATTCCAGAGAGAAGCGGGGGTGGGGGGGACCACAAACACTCATCATCAGCAATGGAAAAGCCCTGCTCTCACCGACCACCCTCAGCCTTGGTGGCCAGGCTGTCTTCAATGCAGGAGGGTCCCAGCATGTTAGCTTGTTTCTAAAGGTGGATGCCATCAGTTCCTTCCCATAACTGCACCCTCATACAGAGGGACCCTGGACCACCCTATAAGAACCCCAGGCTAATCTGAGGCAGGGAGGCCAGTGGGAGAAGGCGAAAGTGCCAGGCATGTGGGTGGAGAATCCGTGGGATGTCCAGCCCAACCACACTTCAGATGACTACAGCCCCAGCCACCATCTAACTGCAACCATCTCAGACCTCAAGAAGAGTGACCCAGCTGGGATCATGCAACTCACAGGACCATGAAAGGTAATCCTACTTTGTGGTTTTAAGTCACTAAGCTTTTGGGTGTTTGTGACGCAGCAACAGATAATTAAAACACCCAGGAAAGGCTGCAACGGGTTTTAAGGCTTGTGACATTCCCACCTCCTGTCTCCTTAACAAAAGCAACAGGAGTCAGTCAGATTTTTCAGTCCCTTTAATTATGTGCCCTGAGGAGTGGGCAGAATGGCAGGCAGGGAGTGGGGAAGGTGGCTCTTTTTTTTTTTTTTTTTTTTTTTGCGGTACCAGTGATTGAACTCAGGACCTTGCGCTTTTGAGGCAGGCGAGGCACCACTGAGTTAAATCCCCAGCCCGGGAAGGCGGCTCTTCTTGAGGTCCACGCTGGTCAGTCATCATCCGGCAGCTGGATCTTGCTAGGGTCGAAGCAGTTGGATTCCATGATGGGGAGGCTGTTAGCCTCTCGGTATTTCACAAGCCTCTCAGCTTCTCGACGGGCCCACTCCTGCATCCTAAAGGCAGCAGCGGCAGGGGCAGATGTGTGGAAGGTTCACTGGACACCTGTCCCCCTCGGCTCCCCACTCTCCAGTGGTACAGGGACAAACTTTCCAGCAGAGGCCCCTCCGACCTCCACCCTGCCTCTGACCCCATCCACCCCACTCTCGGACAGCCCCTGCACCTGTAGTCAGGCATATAAGCCACAAAGGTAGTGCCAAAGACGATAATAATGGAGAAGCCAAAGAAGAAGACAACTCGCATGTTCCAGATGTCTATGACAGGGTCCTGGTCGAAGCCATGAGAGTCTGGGTTCTGTGCAGAAGAAAAGATCAATGAAGGCTTCCTGCTTCTCCATAAAGCTGCATGCTGGCCCCGAATAACCTGGTCTCCAGTCTCCCCTCAAATCAATCTCTCCTTCTGCATTAAATTCCTCTCCTTCTATTCTTAGGACATGTCAAGTTCCTTCCCAGCAAAGGGCCTTTGTACTTGGTATTCCCTCTGCCTAGAAAGCCTTTACCCCCAGATCTAATCATGACTGCCTCCATTGCCTCATTCAAGGTTTTGGCTTCAACAATTCCATTAGGAGGCAGGCATTCCCTAGCCACTTTTTCTATTAAGTTGAATCACAGGAAACTGGTATTTTAATAGGTCAAAAATGGTTACATATTGGCAATTTCCTATGGCTCCACCTAATAAAACACCATCCTACAGCCCAGTTAACTTTCATCCAGTTACTCTATAGCATCCTATGTGTCTAAGCCTCTTAAAGAGACATTAAGTATCAGGTTTTTTTCTTCTTCCTTTTGCAGACTGAACCCAGGGGCACTCTATTACTGGGATACATCCCTAGTCCTTTTTGAGACAGGGTCTCCCTAAATTGCCTACGCTTGCCTCCAACCTGCAATCCTCCTGCCTCAGCTTCCCAAGTAGCTGGAACTACAGGTGTGTGCCACTGCACCCAGTAGTGCCAGGCCTTTTCAAACACACAAACTTCACTACATTCCAGTGAGGCAGAAAGTGGCAATAACAAACACCTTCTAATTAGAGCTCAGTACTTTCAAATTGTCAGCTGCTGCTTTGAGCATTTGACTCATTTAATCACGCGACACAGGTGATCTTATTTTAAAGATGTTATTACTTTTCCCATTTTATTAAGATACTGAGGTACCAAGTGGTTAAGCTACTTGCCCAAGGTCACACAGGCGAGTAACTGTGTTAGTGTTAGTGTTGATTCCAACCCCAGCTGTCTGACCCGAGTCTCTGCTATCAATACAACACACGAGACCCAGTAACTCTAGGCTCAAATACCAGTTCTACCATGTACTATTCAACGAGCTTGGGCAAGCATTTTAACATCGCTGTGCTGCAGTTTTATCTGTAGAATGGAAGTAACAGTCCCGACCTCAAAATTGGTTGTTTTGCCGACTAGATGCTGGTCCTGAGCAAGAGGCACTACTAAACTACCAGGGTGTAGTGGTACCACGACTACAGTTTTTACTGCGTTTTGAGCGCTACTTCAGGCTTGATTTCTGTAAAACAAAACCAATTCCAGCTCTTGCCCTGGACAAAGATTATCAGACCACGAAGTTGAAAACCAAAATAGGCAGCATTCCCAAGTCCTCGAAGATTTAGTCAGCTGCCCAAAAACGTCCTCTAGGACGCCCCGCAAGCCAGCCCCCAACTGACCCCTCCGATGTCCCCGTTCCCCTTCCCTCTCACCTTCTCATATAAGTTTTCTTCCTCGGGTTCTGGGTCCTCCTGCCATTGTGCGGCCGGTTCTGGCGCCCGCTTTCTGGCCACAGTGGTCGGAGTGACCACAGCCCTGGAGGAGCTGGATTCCCAGCGAACGCGGGCACCCCGGGGCCCACGCGTCGCCGCTGCTGCCAAAAGGCGACGAGCGTACAACCCTAACAGCCCGGCCGCCATGACAGGTTGTGCTGCAGGTCCTGTAGGGCGGGGACGGAAATGCAACTGCGCGCAGCTGCAATTGATCCTATCGCGCTTGTCGCTCCGCCTTCACCTCGCTGAATGGATGCTGGGTCCCAGTTTGTTTTCCAGTGAGGTGGGGCACTAGGAGGCCTCTTTCCTCTCTGTATCTTGACCTTATGGGACCAATCATTCTCTCGGTCAGGCTGAGGAATTTCGTCTTGATAGGTCTGCTCATTTCCTTGATAGGAAGAAAGAGGTGACATCTGGGTGACCCTTTGGAGAGAGGTGGAGCTTCCGCTTGTCTTTCAACTTCTAAGGAAGCCAAGCTTCTAAAAAGCCGGCCTCGGGCCGGGGATGTAGCTCAATGGTTTCACCGCCTGCTGCGCAAGCGCAAGGACCTGAGTTTGATCCCCCGTACCAAAAAAAAAAAAAAAAAGCCGGCCTTGAGGGATTGGCCAATAGCTACCCTTTCTCTGGACTTGTGGGGCGTTTACACAGAGAGTGGGGAGGTGGCATGCGCTTGCCAATCAGAGGCGGCCAGGGCTGGTCGATGACAGGCGGCGACCAATAGACAAGGCCGGCCAGAGCGCGCTCCCTTAGTAGGTGGATGGTGGTCGGAGCGCTGGCTCTCTTCTCTTCGTCGCCATTTTGTGCTGGTGATTGCGGCCGGCTGCGAGTAGGCAGCGGGCAGCCGTGACTTTCCCTGGGAGAGCGTCGCGCCTGGCGCCTCTCCCCTCCCCCGCTCCTCTCTTCCGCTCGAAGCCGTGGACTGGATTGTGATGCTCACCAGCCGCTGCTGACCTGGGAGAGTTGGAAGAGGTGGCGGCGGGCCGAGGTGATGCCTGGGAGCCCTCCCTTGACAGCCCGGGCCGAGAAGGTGAGCGTCGACGCTGACCGTGGGGGCGGAGGTAAAGGACCCGGGGCGGAGGTGGGGGCGAGCAGGCGCTATGGCGGACCGTGGGCCCTGGGCCCTGGGGTCGCGCCGAGCGGGGGGAAGGATACATGCATGGTCGGAAGAGGGGGGGTCCTCTCCCCCTTGTGAGAGCGAAAGCGTGCGCGCGATTTGTACACGGGCTGGGCGCACGCGGATTGGGGGAAGGGACAGACGGGTGGGAGTGGGCTACTGGGGCCCACCGGAGTTACTCCATCGAACTTTATCTGTGGGAAGGCGCGTATCTACGACTTTCGTTTTTGTCCACGGAGGATGGCGGTGCTGGCTGCTCTGTTACTTTGGCACTTATCTGTCCGCGGGGAAATGCTCTGTGGCGGGGAGAGAAGGGGAGAGAGAAAGTGACTCTGGTCTTTATCCTTGGGGTGTGTATCTGTGACTCTGGTCCTTCTCCATCAGGGGGCTGTCTTGTTACAGGCCCTAACCCACTTAGTGCGGAGCTGGGCACAGGGAATGTGTATGTGGCTTGCCCCTTTTAAGGAAGAGTTGGTATCTGTGACACTTTGAAAGGGGGCTCAGTGTGTGATGGTAGACTTTATTGACGATTCTGTGTGTGGTTTTCGCCCCTAGTTGTGTGGGGCTCGAGTCTGTAACTTGGCTTCTTGTGATTACCAGTGTTAGCTTCTGGCCCTTTTGCCAGAGTTTGTAGGGGGTTTTGTGTCTGGCTGTCAGCCACTAGGGCTCCTGCTTGTGATTCTAACTTATCCATATCGGGAGCAGGTAACTCTGGTTCCCTGTGACTTGAGGAGGAAGAGAAAATTGGTGTGTGTGTGTGTGAGTTCGTGTGTGCGCATGTGTGCATGGAGGAAAGGCTTGGTGGCAACCTGGTGTTGAGCAGGTGCTGTAACCGTCTGGCTTTACCTGATTTCTGTTCAGAGGGCGGGGCCTGAAGACTCTGGGATAGGTTCGGACCCCTCTGGGTCACATGGTTCTTGGGACTTCTTCAAAATCACAGGCAGCTCTGAGAGGTGGTTTCACCGCTCCCTGATGCTCTTCCATCGCAGCAGAAGGACACAGTGTTTCAGAACAGCCTGGGAAAGGTCCCTTTTGCCTCTGGAAAACTCGGCCTCAGATCCCTGGGGACAGAGCCACCTTGGGACCGGGTAGCACATCAGGGCTGGGCCAGTTGCTGTATGAGTGCTAGGGTTGTGTTGGCCAAGAGCCCAGGGAAGTGGCAGTTGTCTGATTGCCAAGTTAGTCCCTTTACACACACCCCTAATAGCTTTTTCACGGTTTCTGGCTGCCTTGTCAGAGGCAGCCAGCATCCTGTTAGGATGATGAACTGGGCAGGTGGATGGAGCCTAGTGAGGGCTGGGGACTCTGGAAGTCATTCAGCTGGGAGGCCTCCTTGCAACAGCCCGGGACTTGGACTTGTCTACCAGTCTCAGGTGGCAAAACCTTGATCCCATAATGGGTGGTGCCATGAGGTCTCTGCCAAGATGTCCCCTGTCTGATGAAGGCTTTGCTCTTTCCTAGGGCAGTGGGCTCTCGACTCATGTTTGTAGGAACAGGAAGGAGCAGGCCAAGTGGAAGCTGCCTGCCTGCTCCACACACAGGAACACTAGGAGTTGGAAAACAGAATCCCTGGGCAAGGGACAGCAAAGATCCTTGACAAGGAAGGTCTCACAAGGAGGCCATCTCTGCCCCAACTGCCCTGACCTCTTTCTTCCTTCTGCTTTCCCCAGAGTCGCTGCAGGAGGCATCACCCAGGCTGGCAGATCATGGTGGCAGCAGCGGGGGTGGCTGGGAAGTGAAACGGAGCCAGCGGCTGAGAAGGGGCCCCAGCAGCCCCCGAAGGGCCTATCAGGACATGGAGTATGAACGTCGGTAAGTTGTCTGCTTCTACCCCTCACTTGTGCCTAGGCTTGTCTTGTGTGAGGACTGACCCAGGAAGGTGCTAGGAGGGGGTGTCTGGGCATAGGAAAGGTTGCAGCAGATGAGTTTCTTTGTAGCACATACGTATTTGGCACCTGTTGTAAACCAGGACCTGTGCTAGGCTCTGGCAGTACAGTGACGAATGAGACAGATTCTTGGTACTTAGTGTCTCAAAGGGGAGACCGTGCAGTTTACAGGTAATGACAGTTAGCTTGAAGGGTGCCATGGTTGGATGGGAGGGTGGGGAGGGATCAAGAGAAAGGGGAATTGAGGCTGAAGCCCAGGCTTCCGGCTTGAGTGATAGGTATGTGGAGCCATTCACCAAAGTGAAGGTAACTACTACAGGAGAAGCAGAGATGTCAGGGCTGTAGCCTGGGGTTTGAGAGATGGGTAGGAGTGGCATTATCAGACAGAGTCAGGAATTTGCCCAGTACCAGTGTGGCCAAGCCAGATCAGATAGTGGGAGATTCCAGGGACTGAGTGGGATACAATTGGCATATTTGTCTTGGAAGAGATACTTAACAGGGTTTTTGTTTTTGTTTTGAGATAAGGTCTTGCTATGTTGCCTAGACTAGCCTCAAACTCCTGGGCTCAAGCAATCCTGCCTCATCCTCCCAAATGCTGGGATTATAGGGATGCTCCACCATGCCTAGCACTAGCCCTTTTTAAAATGTAGAATTACATTTTTTCTAGGCGGTGAACTCAAATTTGAGATAGTATCCTCATGTGGGGTTAGTCAGTCTTGACCTTCATTTAAAATGTCTTTTGGAAGGCATTTTATTTTTGGACATATTCACCAAAAGTGCTCTGTGGCCGTATCTGAGTTTGAGTAGGTGATGTACATGCCTCGGGCTTATTACCAAGTTAGGCTACTGGCTTGCTTTTGGCTTTTAAAGGACCAGAAGTGCAGATGTTTGAGTTAATTGCACTTTTCCATTCAAAGTAGGTTTTTATCATAGGTCAGTCAGTACAAGCCTTCCTCTTGCTGTATTTTTCATTTTTGTTCTCAATTTCCACCTCCGTGGGCAGCTTCTCTGTGGTGCTTGATGTGTATCCTTCTAAACTAGGTAAAGTTTTGAGTGTGTTTTCAGTTTACACAAACAGCATAGTGCTACAATCTTGTTCTGGATCCTGAACTTCGTATTTTTAAGCTGTGCCTGTATTGCATGTGTATATTAGTGCTTCTCCTCTAATTGCTGCCAAGTGCGCCATGGGTATTCCTGCTGTAGTTTACTTAATGATTTCCCCAAGGATGGATACCTGTTCTTATTTTGATGTGCTAAAGTCACTACTTTTTTTTTTCCCCATTAACTTTATTGGTACATTTTAGGTATAAAATACAGTAACATTCATCATTGGGATCTTGTACCATTACATGAGTCTCTTGGTTCTTATTTTTTT